AAATTAAAGGTATCTTATATTATTTGATATATTATTATAAAACATGCTTTGGTTAAGGAGTTATTGATACTTCAAGTGCAAAATGATGATATAAAACCATGATAAAAATACACTTTTAAGTACTAATCACCTACAGGAGGGTAAAGAGGGAAGGAAGCCATTACGGATCTCCCCACACTTTTTGGATTTCGTGGCGGCACGTGGGTTGCGGTGGCATGTGGAGAAGATGCGTCGCCACTACTCCACAATTCCTGAGGGCCTCTTTTACAGTTCCTGGACTCTTTAGGGACCTTTTTGTAATTTTTAAATGTTTGAATATGTATTTAAATTTTTGTTAAATGTTTTTAGTTTATGTTATGTTGTACAAATTATAACAAAAAAACATAGTAAAAAGTGATGTGGAAGTGTGTGTTTATATTTTTATTTATTTATGTTATTGAATTATAAAAAGACAAAAAGAATTAATTGTTTAATTTGAATATGGTTAAATATCTCAAAGATAAATAAAATCATGTTATATTTTCCATAAAAATATAAGAACATGTTTCTATATATATTATGGGATTTAACAACTGATTTATTAAAAACATAGAATTTGATTAATATTTCAAATTTTCAAATCACATCAAACTACAAAGCAGCTTACCTCAGGTAGGGTGTGCTAAGGGTGTTAATATCTTCCCTAGCCATAACCAGTCCCTTACCTTCTAATCTCTGATAAAGACCAGCACACCCGGGTTTTCTAGTAGCCCTCAATTAAGTACTAAATGGCGACTCCCAAGAACCCAAATCAAGCAAAGATAATGAAAAATCATCAACCGATCATTGCGCGGGGGATGCGCAACACACATACATCTATCCATTATAAATAACATGTATACAAGCAATAGGTTGAAATATAGGTCCCCAAAGAGTCTACAACACCCAACTTCGAGCAAGAAACAAGGAAGATGAAGAGCATACCCATCGTGATGCCTATTTACAAGAAGAGTTAGAGTCTCTAAAGGTAAGCATGGCTCGCCTCACTAGCTTACTAGAGCAAACACTTAGAAATGTATCTGGTGAAGGTACTTTTAACTAGGTTGTTATTTTTATCCAGCCTCCAACAACAGCTTAACCCGAAGAAACAATGAGTGAAGATGGTCAAGAACCTCTACACCATTCATCATTTATGCACTCAACAACTTCGACACTAACCCCCGTAGTCATAGATGCGTTTGCCAATAAGTCCCATCAGACCAAGTTATCTGATGACATTAATAAAGTGGCAACTCTAGAAGCCCGAATTAGAGTCATTGAAGGGGTAGACTTGTACGATCTAGTACGAGCAGCAAAAATGTGTTTGGTCCTAAATGTGGTTATCTTGAAGAAGTTTTGTGTTCCTGAGTTCATCAAATACACTGGAACACAATGCCCTATAACTCATCTCAAATCCTATTGCAATAAAATGGCAGAAGTAGTACACGATGAAAAATTATTGATGCATTTTTTCCATGATAGCTTAAGTGGGGCAACATTAAACTAGCATATAAGATTGGACAACACCAAAATCCACAAATGGAAAGACTTGATGGATGCTTTTATGAAGCAATACAAGTACAATATGGACATCACTCCTGATAGAACCAGTTTGTCCAATCTAGAGAAAAGGGATAAGGAAAGCATAAATGAATATGCTCAAAGATGGAGAGACTTAGCTGCTCAACTATATCCCCCACTATTGGATAAAGAGATGGTGACTCTATTTGTCAACACACTCAAGGCACTATACTATGAGTATGTGATGGGTAGTTCAACCCAATAATTTACTGATGCTATAGTAGTAGCTGAGTGAATAGAGGAAGGAGTAAAGAGTGGTAGAATCTTTGCACCTATGGAGAAAAGGGGCTTCGAAGGCAAAAAGAAAGAGGTTGACTATGTTGAGGGTAGGAAGAACCCATTCCAAAAATAC